GGGACCTGCCCCTCTCCCGCCTCGCGTGGGGACGGGGCCTCGCACGGTTATAAAGTGCGTATCTTGTAATTGAAATGACTTGTGAGTTGGTTAAGGGTGCGAATTCCCAAGCCGACCGTGTGCGTGAACTTGGACACGTTATTTACCGTCTCTTTTCATTATAATACTTACCGCCTAGGCTTGTTGTGAAAACTAAACGAGCTAATATTTGCAAAGCACTTAGAAAAGGACCTGGCACATACAGCACCAGTAAAGTGCTAAATAAAAATACGTGTGAACATAAATATTGCCGTTTTTCGAGGTCGAAGGCACTGAGTGATGTGTTTTACATCAGTAGCCTCACCTAATCCTCCCCAGAAGCCAGCGAGGCCAGAACTGCGAATCTCCTCACCCACAGACGGGGACACTGAGTCTGTCAGCAGCGGACCCGCAGGGTGGGACCCCGGGGCCCAGGAGGGTTTGCTGGGCCCCCACCCCACTCTGCTCCAGCCCTCGCTGAGAAGGGCTTCTGGGGGAGGGGAGGAAAAGCAGGGAGGTTTCATGCATTACCCAGTGATCATCAAATTTGCCGGTGACAACGGCTGGAGCCAGGGAGCGGGCAGGATTCATGGAGCAGCCAGTGTAGTGGATCTACAATGGGAGGCAGGAGTGAGGGAGAGAAGGGAGGGGGGACTGGGCGGGGAGTCCCTGCCCCCCTCTCCAGGGCTTGACCTCAACCTAAAGGAAGTCCGCACCACCGGCAACTAAGTTCATGTTGTATTTACAGGGCTCTATTCCTTTGTGGCTGGAGTGATACTGTCCTTTTCAGGTATCTGGCAGTCAAACCCTCTGGGTTGTGTCTGTCCCTCTTGGGAATCTGTATCTGTCCCTCTGGGGACCTTTGTGTCTGCCATTTTGGGTGACTCTGTGTATCTGTCTCTAGAGTGGTCTGTGGGTCTGTTTCTTTGGGGGAAAGTCTGCGTGTCTGGCGAGGCTGGAACCAGTGGCCATGACCTACCCCAAGGAGGTGACCCAGGGCCACAGATAAGCCAATGGATAGGGCAGGGGTGCCCAGGTTGTCTCCACGACGCTCATCTGTAGAGGCAAAGATGCAGAGCACCAGCTGCAGGGTCAGGAAAAGCTCCACAGTAACGGCCTGGCCACCTGTTGTGTTGTTGTTGAGCTGGGGACAGAGAGGAGGAAACAGTGAACATGCTCCCAGCACTGGCTCCATCTTCCTGCCCACCTGCAGTCAAGATTCCAGAGAGGCTTCTGGGCTGGCTGGGAGCCAGACACGTTAGTCCAAACCACTGATGGCTTCTTCCTGGGCCAGTGGCTCAAAGGCAGAGGGATGGACCCAGAGACTGCCAGTGATTCCCCAGCCAGAGGTAGGAAAAATGACTCCATAGCCCATTAGATTTTATCTGCCTACCATGTGAGTGGAAAATTATGCTGAGTTCAGAATTTCTGTTTCTTGAAGAGCAAGAAGAGAAGGGGTTTTGAATACAGCAGGAAGCTTTAGACCAGGTAACAGGAAGGCCTTCCTCTCTCCCTATTCCATAAGATAATGGTATAACCAGGGCCCTATCGTCTTTCTTCTTGTGGTCAAAGGACTCCCAGAAACAGGGACTTGGGCCTGGGGATGGTCCTAGCGCATACCCTTCCCCCACAAGTCTAGCATGTGACTCTTTCTTCTAACCTTTGCCTGTTCTCCTTGACTTTGCCTGTTCCCCACTGCTTTTCAGGCCTCAATTTTGCCCTGTGGATTTGCTCCCTGCAAAGGAGGCTGAGGTAGGGGTGTAGAAGCCCTACATTATGATGCCTCCATACCCATGTGGGGTGCCCACGGTCCCAGTGGACCCTGCCTTGGATAATGAGAGAACTTGGGGCCAAGCAAAGAGGTAATTTCATAATTGGACCACACCCAGGACTGGATTTCTCTCTGGGTTTTGTCATTTTGTGCCTTACACCCTGCCCTCTGGGGCTGGGCTCTGAACTGGGTGGAGTTGTGACAGCACTCACCTCCCATGCTCTTTCTTCAGGCCCTGAACCCCCACCCTTGGGTGCTAGCCATTGGGCTGTCACTCTTGGGTCTCTCTAGGGTCTAATCTCAATCCCCTGTGATCCAATGTCAGAGCCTCTAGTGGAGAACAGTGAAAAGAGCTTTGAAGGCAGACACTTTGGAAGCCTCTGACTTACCATGGGCCCTGTTTACTTCAGTCTCAGTTTGTCCTTCTCTAAAATAGGGATAACAAAATTCTGGAGGCCTGTGTGAGGACTGGAAATGACAAGGGCAGAGCCCTAGCCCTGTTCTTGCTGGCAAATGGTTGCTCTGGGACAGTGTGGATGTGGGTTTGGTGTCAGATCTCTGGGTCCATTTCCAGGTGCTGACACTTACTGGTTTGACTTGAATCAGTTGAACGCTGCGCCTAAATTTTTACCACTCATGGTAGAGGGATCACAGAATTCACCTTACAGCATTATACAGAGTGAGATGATGGCTGGCCTGGCACAAAGCAGGTACCCATCAATGGTAACGTCCTGGTGGCCAACTGGCCTTTCTAGGGAGCTCAGAAAACACCTGGGACAACCTTAAGGTCATCTGGTTCCCTCTAGCTTCAGGGTAATTCAGCCCCACTGCTGCCCCTTCCAGCCAGCAGGGTTCTTAGTTCCTCAAGATAGTAAATGCTGACTATGAGGGGTTTAGTCAACTGTGAAATGATGGAGGAGCAGGACTGAGAGTCCCCATGTCCTCTTAGCAATCCCATTGCCCTGCTATTAGAGGAGATCCCCCAGTCACATGCTGAGACTTTCTTGACCGTGTTCTCAGGAAGTTCCTCTTTCGGTCTAACTGAACCTCTCCTTGTTGCCAGCTAAACTAATTTTGTCCTTGATGAAAATGGTCACACTCTTCAGTTTGTCCTGTGCCATGGTCACTCTAACCTTTTCTCAGTCCTGAGCCCCCAGCCTCATTACGTTTTCCATTTGGAAGAAGAGAGAAGTACCCAATTGGGATACCTCTGCCCTTTGTATGAGAAAGGGCCGCCCATGCAGAGGAGAGGGTGGCCACAGAGACTGTGCAGGACTCTTCAGAGAAACCAGAGCTCTTATCTAGTGGCTCAGGGACAGAGCAGGCCAAGATATGCAGGAAACTGAGGCACGAAAGAGGCACTTGCTGTCTGGGCTTGGATGGGGGGTGGAGTGAGGATTCTGCTGAAGGGGCACAGACCCATGAGAGGGGAGGGTGGGAGCATGGAGGGGGGCTGCAGCATCGCCCTCAGCTCCCAAAGCACCCAAGGTGCCCGGTTAGCCACTGTTCATAAAATCAGCATTTAGCTCACGTGCTCCAGAGTCTGGAGAGACATTGCCCCTTCAGCTTTCCCCTGGGCTCTGGTACTTTCTTTGGTATTGACACACTGTAGAACTTTTGGCCTGTACCTCCCTTCTCTGAGCCTCAGTTTCCTTGTTTGCAAAACAAGGCTTAGGTAATGGATCAGGTCGAAAGATCATGGGTTTTGCAGTCAAGCCTGGGTTTGAAGTCTGGCTCTGGCACTTTCCCTCTCAGCCATAGTTTCCGTATTCTTAAGAAAGGATTTACCCATCTCTACTTCACAGGGCTGTTGCGAGATTTCAACTGGAGGATTGTGAGCAGCCCCTACCATGAGGCCTACACACAGTACATGCTGAAGAAAAGTTGGGTCCTTCTTCCCTCTAGAAGACCCTCGGGGCTCACATTCTGAGGTTCCTCCCAGCTCAGAAAGCACGTCTACCTTGGGACCCTGTCCTCGGCTGCGTTCTAGCCCAGTTCTCACTGTAATGCAGGCGTCTTCCTCCATGAGGAGGAACAGAAGGTACCAGCAGAACCGTGGGTATCTGCTTCAGCTCCGGCACTATTGCGCCTTCCCGCCCTGGTTCTACTATGGCAGCCGTGTACCTGGTTCCAGCACCTCTACGTACCACCCCTGCAGCCTCCCTCCATCTCTCTCTCCCCACCCAGACCCTCACCCAGACCTGTTCCCTCCCATCTCATCTGCCCCTTGTGGAAGAGATGAAGCTCCAGCTACTCACTGCATTGATAGCCAGGTCCCCTCGGATGTCTGCTGGTGTAATCTCATGGAGCAGAGCAGCTCCTGCCACGGCCCCCAGCAGCTGGGCAGCCACGTAGAAGGCAGCTCGGAGAAAGGAGACGTGGCAGCCCACCAGGCAGGCCACAGTCACCGCAGGGTTGATGTGGGCGCCGCTGACGTGGCCCAGGGCCTGCACCAAGGTGCCAATAGCCAAGCCGAAGGCCATGGCGATCTCCAGCACAGAGGGCAGGGCCCGAGGCCAGTTGAGGGCTGAGCCCAGGCCAAAGAAGACAAAAATGAGTGTGGCCAGGAACTCTGCAAACACGGCCCTGGAGAAGGCTATGGACCGGAGTTCCCACATGCTGTGGAGACTTTCGTGGCTGGCCCAGCTGTGTCAGGGGCAGGAGGCTGTGGCTGTCTCCCTCTCTCCCTCCCTCTCTCTCAGGGTTTCTGGGGAGGCTGGGTCATGGGCATTTACAGGATCCTTCCATCCTCCACTTGGACACGTGGGGCGGAGGTGGAGTTTAGACCAATACCTCGTCTCCTCTCTGGCTACCCCCTGCCCCCACTCCCCACCCCTGCCCACCACATGCCTATCACCCCATCTTGGCCTTCACAGCTGACTAATGTTCCCCATTAATAGCTCCAGATAAGGACTGACGTCCCCTGGTTTTCCGTGTTTGTCCCCTCCGTTACCCCAGGGCTGTTGCCCCAGGGCCTCCCCAGGCCCCCATAGGCTCTGTGTTGGGGATTCTGTAGATCTGTCAAAACCCCTCTCTCTGACACAAACTGTTGGCCAAGGCAGGGGCAACAGCTCACCCAAAACTGACCAGGGGAGAGGATGCCAACGCTACCCCTTCTATTGACTGGGAAGCTTTCCCTGCTGTCTGACCTCCAGTTGTTTCTTCTTGAAGGGGAAGGAAAACAACTGGTTGGTTGTGAAATGAACCTTCCAAGGCACAAAGGTTTTGTCTCTTCTGTGCTTGTTTTCTTACAGTCAGTCACCCACAAGTTATTAAGCTGCACCACTCCCTGGAACCCCAGCCAAACAGCGGCTCCCACAGCCTAGAGACAGGGAGTTTCAGTGGCATTGGGACCCTGGCCCTGGGTGATGGAGTCAACCTGGGGTTGACGGAGCCACCTGCAGGCTTCCATTCTAGCAGCACCCCCGTCCATCTTTGTGAGCTGCTTCTCGTTCATCTCTGTAAAGAGGGGATTATAACTACCTTATTGGATAGCTGTTTGGATTAAATAAAATAATGTATATAAGGTGCTCAAAGCCGTGCCTGACCCACAGTAAGCTATCAGTATCAGCTGTTATTAATAGTATTATTTATACTCCGAGGAGGAGAATAAGTCTCCCCAAACTTACACCTTAGGGTTCCAGAAGCTGTGAGACTCTAGGCACCCCCTGGAGCTCAGAGCCACACAGGGCTCTGGGGGAGGGCATTTCTGTGAGGCAGTGAGCTGTGCAGGCTCATGGAGCAACTCTCCAGCCTCCGTGCCCACTCAGCCCAGCATCAGGCAATGCCACTTTCTGCCACCAATGCTGCTCCAGCCCAGAGTCTAGGATGCATTTAGGCCTGGGAGTCCCTGGGCTGACACCCCACTCTTCCCTAATCCCTCCATCCCTGCTCCCTTTCCCAGGGACCAAAAGGTAGGGTCAGGCTCAGAGTGCCATCAGGAGGACTAGCTTTTGGACCCTGCTCTACCTCCTGAACAGCAGGTCCCTATGCAAGTCCCAGTCCCAGGAATGGAAATCTGGGCAGGTTGGAGACTGTAAAGTAGAGTCCCTTGTGTTGTATCACAGGGGGACATTGAGGTCCAGGGAGGGCAAGTGACTCATCTAAGGTGGTCCAGCAAGTTAGTGGCTAATCTGTACTGGAACCTGATCTGGAGAGTATTCCACACCCTACATTGCCAGTCACACCCTGAGCCTCAGTTTCCTTGTTTGGAAAATGGGAGTAAGGAAGCCCACCCCACAAAGTTATTTTGAGAATGGGAAATATTTTGCAATTGAAAATGTGTCACCCAAATATAGGGACTAGTGAATCCTGCTAGAGAGGAGGAGAAGAGGAAGGCAGAAAGAAGAAAATGACCACACAATACAGAAGGGCCAAAAAATCAGGAATTCTTGTGGGGTTTGTTCTCTGGTGTGTTTCCAGTGCCTAGAATGGTGTCTGACACACAGGTAGATGCTCAACTATATCCTGAATGAAGATAACCTCTCCCTACCCCTGCCTCTGGCTGAGAGAGGCTGAGAGGAACCCAGAGGGACTGGGGTCTGGGGTGGACATGAACCCCATGCTCCCCATAGCCGCCTGCCCACTCTGAGTCCAGTACCCAGGAGTTTTCCAGTGACTCCAGGTAAAGCTCCTCTCTCGACCTGCCCGGCCCCCTTTCCTTTTCCAGGGCACAGCTCTTACTTGGCACCTCGTTCTCTGCTCTCAGCCATCCCTTCCCAGCCTCAGGCATTCCTAATGCTCTGGGAAGAGATGCAGAGGGAGGAAAAGACTGTGACTTGCCGCGTCCTTTCTGGGCCCAAGTCTGGGAGGAGGAGTATGCCAATCGTGACTGGGTCCTTACTCTGTGCCTTTGGGCCAGGGAGAAAGGTGTCCTGTCAAAGCCGCGGGGTTCAAGCCTTGCTTCCTGGCAGGCAGTGGAGCACCCCCAAGGGGAGAGCTCCATTTTGTCTCCAGTGACCACTATGTGGTATCTTTAAGAGGTCCGAGGGGCCATCGATTGTGTGATGCACTGCTAATTAGAGTATGACAGAAGGCTTTTTTGGAGATGGATGGTGATAGTGGTTGCACAACAATGTAAATGTGCTTAATACCATCAAACGGTGCACTTAAAAATTACTAGGATGGTGCTTTATAGCAATTAAAAATAATTTCAAAAAGTGAGGAAAGGAAAATGCTTTTTTAAAAACCAATCTTTATTTTGTGTTTATTAAAAGAAGTTTTTATTTATTTATTTAGATAACAGTTTTTAAGTCAAAATCTGTCTTGTGCATGCATAGAAAAGGAAATTATAGGCAAAATAAATCAGCTGAACTGCAATTGACCCTTGAACAGCGCCGGTTTGAACTGCACGGGTCCACTTACATGTGGATTTTTTTCAATAAATGCTGTAAATATTTTTCTCTTCCTTATGATTTTCTTAATAACATTTTCTTTTCTCTAGTTTACTTTATTGTAAGAATATAGTATATAATACATATAACATACAAAACGTGTTAATTGACTATGTTGTCAGTAAGGCTTCTGGTCAATAGTAGGGTATTTATAGTTAAATTTGGGGAGAGTAAAAATTTGTCCTTGGATTTTCAACTGCACAGGGGGTTGGCATCCCCAATCCTCACGTTGTTCAAGGGTCAACTGCAGTCCTAAGTCTTCTTCACATTCAGAGTCCAACTTCCCTAAATCCCATTTTGATTCAGAGTCCCCAGTGTTCTTCTGCAGTGTCACCTCTGTGCCATCAGCAGTGTAGTTATGCGCCATTTTTTATGAGATCATCCACTGTTGTTTCCAGAATTTCTTTCCAAGCGTGGGATATTCCTTCTGTAAATTCTATCGCATGTGTTTTCTTGCTTCACATTTGACTGGCAATCATGTTGCCCTTTGTCAGTAATAAAACACCAGTTTCATCTACTTACGGGCTCTTCCTTTCTTAGGTTTCATGAAACACTTGGCTGTTGTTTTGCAAGAAAATATGGAATTGTCCTTCAACGCTAACTATTTGCTTCACTAACATTAAATTCTTGCTGTGCTCCTCTATTTTCTTGTCTTTGTGCATGCACAATAACTCTGTGTTTAACTGTGAAACCACAGTGTAACCTCCCTGAAGACATGTAAATAGCAATTAAACTGAACGGATGTAGGAATGAGAAGGCACGGAACTTACCTGACCACTTAAGTATGAACAGGGAGTGACAACCACTCCCAGGTGCTGTAAGACAACACAATTGTAAGATACATTAAAATGAGGAAAAAAAGAGAACACCTTAGGATTGATTAAGTATAGCAGTTATAATATTAAACACACATTTAGAGCTCACTCTGTTATTAAATGCTCTAGATATTTGTACACATATTAATTCTCTTAATCTTCACAGCAATCCTATGAGCTAAACATCCTTTTTTTTTTTTTTAATCCTCACCCGAGGATATATATATGTTTTTTCCATTGCTCTTAGAGAGACACATAGATTGGTTACCTCCTGCACGCACCAGACCAGAGCCAGGGATCGAGCCTGCGACCGAGGTACGTGCCCTTGACCGGGAATCGAACCTGAGACTCTTCAGTCCCCAGGCCAACGCTCTAACCACTGAGCCAAACCAGCTGGGGCTAAACATCCCATTTTTTATAAATGAGGAAAATGAGGCAGAGAGAGGTTAGGTAACTTTCTGGAGGTCACACAGCTATGAGTGGGGAGGCAGAATTAGAACCCCAGAAGTCTGGCTTCAAGAGGACTTTTAGATTGTGAAAATGAATCACTACCTCGCCTCTTGAAATGATCAAGACGGGAAAGAAGTGAGAAAGAATGCTAAAGGACCTCTGACTAAAAACAACAACAAAAACACACACCAAGGAGTTGGGTGATGTTTACTGGTGGCTTGAAGGAGGGGGCTGAGCCCCTGGAAAAGTGGAAGCAGAAAGAGGTGCGTGTGGGGAGCTGTGTCAGCGAGGATGCCGCACGTGGGAGCGCAGTGACAAAGTTCAGGACCCGGCCTGTCTGAGGCTGATGTGAGGTGTGTTTCCTGCTCTGAGCTGAGACGCGGATGCCCTCCATTCTCCCCACAAGGTCGGTAAAAGTGGGTCACGCATCACAGCCTGGAGGCTGGACTGAGGGGAAGGAGGGAGAAGGGACGGGGCAGATCCACAGTCGGGCGAAGTGGGACGGTGTGAAGGAGCAGACCCCGGCGGCAGCTGGCGGGAGAGGTGGGAGGCCGGGGCTCAGGCCCGCGGGGAGCCTGGGAAGCATTGTAGGGTGTCGGATCCGTGCACCTCTGGGACAGAGCGCAAGCCATTGTATTTCGATGTAAGGTGGCCAGATAAAATACAGGATTACCAGGTAAATGTGAATTTCAGAAAAATGATAAAATTTTTAGCATAAGTAATTCCAAGCAATTGCGGGACATGCTTGTGCTAGAAAACAATTTGTTATTTGAGATTGAAATTTGAGTGGATGTCCTGTATTTTTCTTTGCTAAATCTGGCAACTCTATTCTATGTGAAAACAAAGGAGAACCCAGGCGACTGAAGGCCTGGGGACATCTGGGTTCCAAACTAAATCCTCACAGGAACTTTTGGGGATGAGTTGTCTAAGCTCCATTTTACACAGGAGGAAACTGAGGCACAGAGAGGTTATAAAGGTTTCCCAAGACCACAGGGCTGGTAAGTAGCAGAGACAAGCTGTGAGTACAGGTC